CGCCGCAGCACCGGCGGGCAGGGTGACGCCGGGTACCCCAGCCGCCTTCTGCCCAGCGCCACCTCAGCGGCAGCAATCCCCCCGGGAGCTCAGAGAGACAGGGGTGCGAATGCGGCCTGAATGATTAATTCTGGCTGTGCTACACCTTACCCCCAGGCCTCCTCCCTGAGCACACAGGCACCCGCCCAGCTCCCACGTCCTAATGGGCCGTTCGTGGCTTTCTCCGCCAGGCTGCAGGCACACACGCCCGCACCTTGGCACAGACCGCAGCCTGCGTCTCTTTGTAATTGAATTTACTCAGCAGAGCTCAGCTGGAGTCCTTTACCCAATTTTACAGTTGGGCTGGCTGAGGAACAGAGGTCAAGTGGCTTTGCCCGAGGTTCGCGTGACGAGCGACTCGGCTCAGACCCCGCCGCTCCTCCACCCTGCACGGCTTCTCGTCAAGCAAACACACTTCCTTCTCCTGGATCCATTTGGAAACGCGCCTGCCTTCCTTGACCGCTCTATCCGGGGACACGATCCCATGCAGGCCGGAGAGCGCAGCGGCCCCTGCCAGGAGGGCTTTAGGAAAGGGCATTTAGGAAGCACACAAGGAAGAAGAAGGGGAAGCAGATGAACCGGGAACTGCCGCAGAGGAAATAACGCTGAGCGCTCGGTCGCGACCCAACCGTAAGAGATGCTCTCAAGCTGCGAGCCAGCTCGGTCGAGCGGTGCCTGCAAGATGTTGTTGTCCGTCGGTGGAAGACACCGGCTGTCGGCACAAGCGCGCTCAGGGTGTCGGGGTCAGCATTCCTCAGGGCCAAAACGTGAGGATCTCAAAGACTGGAAGCACACCCGGCAGCTCTGCCACAAGGAGCAAGGGCAATCTCGGCAGCGAGGAACCTCAAACCCAAGCCCACCTCAGCACGCGGCGCTGGGGTTGAACTGACCCACGCCACGCACGAAGGCTCGGGGCTTTTTTTTTTTTTTTTCCTGATGTGCTACTTTCCCTGTCAGCAGATAGGAAAATGCTCAGGAAATTAAGGACCTCGAGGATTCCTTCCCTAGTTCAGGTTACCTGATCATCTCCGGCCCAGGGGAGCAAATCCTCTCAAATTAGGAAGCCAAAGCAGCTACTGCTACATCTGCTACTCCACCAGGATGCATTTCAGAGACGGAGACAGGCACGGCCCCGGCATTAGGGCCTCCTTCCTCACCCTCACCTACCACAGGTCTAATACTAGCACGTTCTCTAGCGAGAGAAGATGAAGGTCAGGAGCTCTGGGAAGCCTCTCTGGCTGAAAGGACATCCGACGGGCAGCCCTGACAGGCAGAAGTTAAACCAGTCCAAGCTTTGCTACTTAAATACCCCGTTTCAGCTGAACAAACCTGCTTTTAAGCCAGGTTTTCATTCAGTAGAAATTCTGGAGAGGCAATGCAGCAGGAGGATTTAACTACCGGATCCTGTCTTGTGCCGTAGGATTTAAAGACACACTAATTATGCTCGGGGTCATGGAGGGAGTGGGAAAAACAAAACAAAACCAAAAAAACCCAACCAAAAAAAAAAAAAGTGAAGGTACAATTTACACCTGAGCTCACCAGCAACTGCGTCACTTTTGGGAAAAGGAAAGTGAATCTCTTTCTGCGATGCCAACCGGCTGCAGAGTCACCGCTTATCGATTGCACAGACGTGGCATCCTGCTGGGCAGCTCTTTCGCTTGGCATTTGTCAAAGGAGGTTCCCGGTGTGGCCCCGTTCCAGGCAGGCGCTCGCCTCCCCGCTCACGGAACCGCACGTCCTGCTTCCCCCGCCGCCGGCTCGGCTTATCGGAGCAATGCTGCCGGACTGGACTTGAGTCTTTAACCTTTCCGAACATGACGCAAGTGTTTTATAGATGATAACGCAAGTCAAAGGGCGAGGAATTGCTTATACGGAACCAGGCACGTTAGCCAAAAGAATGACATTTTCCATACCGGGGAGAGGTCCTTTACAGGTGATGGAACTGCAGAGAGGCAGACAAAAAAACTCAATAACAACCCCCCACCGTCCACAGTGATAATACTGAATCAGCAGACGAAGCCACTAACAAAGCAAGTAGTCACATTCATAAAACCAGACTTGAGTTAGGGCTACAAATCCCTCGGCTACTGACAAGGTAAGTCCTCCTACGCTGCAGCTTTCCCAAAAGACGGGAGGTGCTGGGAGCTCCACGCCCGGCTTTGGCCTGGAGACCACAACTCCTAGCAGGAAAAGACAGGTTGGGGCCCACGCACGCCTTTAGCCCTACCCCTCCGGCTCAGTCTAACCTCCTCAGACCACTGTAAAAGTCCTCTATCAACATTTTGGTCGGTATTTTTAGCACACGCTGAATTTCAACACGGGACAGCGTTCCCCTGGCTTCAGGAGAGCACTTCCTGACGGCAGAGTTCAACGCAAGAATGAGCCCAAGAAAAAGCCCACGCCGAAGGAGGCAACTTGCTGCGAGGCTTCCCAACACAGCGCTCTCCGTCGCCGCCACGACAGACTCTCGCCCGTCGGGCCACGCGCAGCTTTCAGACACAGAGAGCTCGCGCCGCAGATCTGCACGTCCGCCCTGTATCTCCTTTAATCCTTCAAGGCCATAGCGGTGGTTTGGTCACTCGTCAAACGCTACTCACTTCAGGCAAGGAGAACTCTCCGGGCGGTTTTTTGTGAATGTGTCTTTACCAAAAGCAATCGTTATTTGTATAACCAAGAACAATTTCTCAGAAATAGATTCCAGCGGCCCAGACAGCGAGCGTACCTGATGCTAGGCCTTTTGCAATAGCATCTTAGAGCACATATCTAAACCAACCATGATGTTCATTAAAAAAAAAAAACAAACCAACCCGATTACACTCGTATGGAACATCGTGCACAGTATTAAAAGCTTGGTGTAAAACGGGGGAAGCAGTGCTGCACAGGACAGCCTTTGATGTGCACTTACACCTTCAGAAGGAGCCCTCTCTTCCGTGTTATATTCAATCATAATTTGAAGATTTCAAACCTGAACGTTTGTTTTTAAGAGACGCGGACCACCGCAGCCCGAGCTCCCAGCAGTTCTCCTTCCACACAGCCAGTACTGGCACCTGACAGTATGTTATATCTGCGCTTAAAATGGCTTTACGGGGGTCAGGACACGGAGCCGCAGCTCACCAAAGCCCCTGACGGACACACCAAGGCCTCGAAGAGTCTATCAACACCCCACCGCAGGCGTGGGACGGCAGCTGGAGCGCAGGCCTTGCAAAGCTGCCCACAAAGGCGGCTTCTAAAAACTGCAGAGTACGGGACTTTAGACTCCCGTTTATTCTTTACGACGTGCCTGACCTCCCCGAGGCTGCAGAACAGCGCCCGGGCCGCAGGGCAAACACAAGCCAAGTCATCGGCCTGACTGGAAAGCTGAAGTCTTACTCCAAATGCATCGCTCTTAAAGCCTTAAGACACCTGGACCTGTCCCTGCGTTTAACTTACCTACTCTGCAGTTCAGCAAAGGCCTGCTTCATCTTCTTAATGGAAGCATCCATTTCCTCCTTCACCACAACCCGGTACCGAGCCAGCGAAACGGTGCAGCGCTGGAGATCCTTCACTGATTTTTCAATATTAGAACCTACCGAGAGACAGAGTGAACTCAAACAGCCATGTCAATCACACTGCTGATAAATCTCACGATGGCTTTTCCCCTCTTATTTTAAAACTGTACACTGCTTGGTTTTACATTTTTCTTTCCCTTCGCTGTTACAAAGGCACTGGGCTCAGCAGGGACAGCTGGAGAGATTTTCTTACTGGGGAAAAGTTATCCCAAGGCTCGTAGTTTCCTTCTACAGGCAGGGATGTCCCTCCACATTTTCAAATACACGAGATAAATCAAATGCATCTCCAAGCTGCTTTTGTGCTGGGGCCTGGAGGCAAGTGAAACGCGGTCTGCCCCAAAGACCAACACACCCTATCGCCAAGCGATACAAGTGACTGTTTGCCCGGGGAAGGGAATTATCTTGGAAACGAAAATTAAGGCTATTTCCTCAAATCAGGAGCTGAAGGGATCAGTCACGGCTGCCAAGGTTAGTCCTGTGCATCGACACCTTGCCCACGCTCGCTGGAGCTTGCTGGAGGGGGGTTGCACCCTGCCAAGCTCCGCTAACGACCGCTCGTTACAGCTTTCCCACGCAACCACCACCACCTCATCTCCCTAAGTACAATAACCGCGATCGCAGCCGGGGTCTCCGAGGTCCCTCCTGTCCCCACTTGTTATCGTACGAACTCAGCTGTGGAGAAAGGAGGCGGAAGAGGAGGGGGGAAAAAACCCAAACAAATCCGGTAGGAGGCGGCTGTCACTTCTTGTAACGGGGCTGGTCCGAACTTGTGGCCTTTCGACAAATTCTCACAAAAGATGAGAAACGACCTAAAGGCTCTGATGGAGCGCGCAGAAGAATGGGCTAAACGTATGCAGCGAGACTGGCGGCTTCCTCCCCTGCCTCTCTCACACGTACGGGTTTGCTGCTCCAGGCACTACATCTAAACTGCTGTCAGGATCCCTGCTGCGCGCGGGGAAGAGGACGAGCAGAGTGCAAGTTACTGGCCGGATAATAAGCAGCACGTTAGCTCGCATTAAAATCAAAGTCCAGAGTGCCTCACCACCGCGTCTGCCAGCGATACCGCAGAAGGGGCGGTGAAAATTTGGCCGGCAGCAGCCTGCTCTGACATGGGAGAGCGCGCAGACCCTCTGGGCCTTACCCAGCTTCTTGTTTGCAGGTGACACTGGAACATCTTCCAGCCGCGTTACGGACAGGGAGGCAGGAGTCGAGTGGCTCGCTGTTGATCTGGACAGAGACCTGCTAGCGCTCCTCTGCTCAGGCCGCTGTCTGAGAGACGAAGGGCTCTGGGAAGGATGCAGGATGAGCGATTTTGTGTCAAAGTCTGCTATTCCATTCTCTAGTTCAGGCACTGCTGTAGAAAAGCACACTCGTTTGAAGGGGAACGCAAAGAGCGCAGCAGAACACTGAACGCCTCTTTACCACAGCAAGCAAAACCAAAAACAAAAATCAGAAATCAAGGTGAGCTGCTCTTTCCTGAAGAGCCAAACAAATCAGTATTCAGAGCTGTGCCAAAACAAAGAGG